CTTTTTATGTGAGTTTTACATATGACGATTGGAGATGCAGCTGTTCCTCTGTTGTCTGTGGTCACAATAAAAAGAATGCAGGCTATGTGAGGACTGTCAATTAGTCCACATTATTCAGTGTTTACTATATTCGTTGGCTTGTCTGAGGCTTAGCTTGGCAAGCTACATGCTGTATTACTTTCACAATGACAAACATGTCAGATTCCTAACTAAACCTAAATGGCAAAGCATTATTGAGCTACACTCTACACCCAGGTTATGGCAGTTTTGCCACACATAAAGTGTAGCCACAACTAAGGATCAAACAACTTTCCACTCCTTTATGCATCACCTTTGTGGTCTATATGTGCACCAGAGAAGTTCTTCTGTTTCGGAATAGCAGCATCAAAAGGACTTTAGGACCAGATGTCAGAATTTGTTCACTTTACCTTCCAAATGATATCTGTACTTTGCTACACCATTTTTGCAAAAGGCTTCTCTGCATGGCAGGTAGAATCACTTCCTCCTACAAACATAACATTTTGAGAGACTGGAAAAATGCAGCAGACTATGATAAACAATACTGCCCTTGAAACTCATAGACGTTTCTCTAACTCTGGGTCTTGCCATTGCATAATTTCACCACTTGATAGATTGTTATTGATGCAGAACAAGGTAAGTAAGTGTTGAGACTTTTTAAGTGGCTGTTGGTTATGTTAAGGTTAGTATACACAGAAGAAATGTTCCCCACCTTGAATACTGTGATCCTTTGCTATGTACAGTCAAGTAAAAAAGGTGTACGCACTCCAAATGAATGAAATACAGCACTTTATTGATCTAGTGTTAAAAGCACAATAACTGTAGTTCTAACCATTGCAGAAAAAAATGTCCTTTGTTCAAGCAATAAAACTAATATATATATATATATATATATATATATATATATATATATATATACACACAGGTGAAACTCAAAAAATTTGAATATTATGCAAAGGTTCATTTATTTCAGTAATGCAACTTAAAAAGTGAAACTAATATATGAGATAGACTCATTACATGCAAAGCAAGATAGTTCAAGCTGTGATTTGTCATAATTGTGATGATTTTGGCTTACAGCTCATGAAAATCCCAAATCCACAATCTCAGAAAATTAGAATATTACATGCAATCAATAAAACAAGGATTGTACATAGAACAATATCAGACCTCTGAAAAGTATAAGCATGCATATGTACTCATTACTTGGTTTGGGCTCCTTTTGCAGCAATTACTGCCTCACTGCGGCATGGCATGAAAGCTATCAGCCTATGGCACTGCTGAGGTGTTATGGAAGACCAGGATGCTTCAATAACGGCCTTCAGCTCTTCTGCATTGTTTGGTCTCATGTCTCTCATCTTTCTCTTGGCAATGCCCCATAGATTCTCTATGGGGTTCAGGTCAGGCGAGTTTGCTGGCCAATCAATCACAGTAATCCCACAGTCATTGAACCAGCTGGAAAATGAAGTCAGCATCCCCATAAAGCTTGTCTGTGGAAGGAAGCATGAAGTGCTCCAAAATCTCCTGGTAGATGGCTGCGTTGACTATGGACTTAATGAAGTACAGTGGACCAACACCAGCAGATGACATGGCTCCCCAAATCAACACAGACTGTGGAAACTTCACACTGGACTTCAAACATCTTGCAGTGTGTGCCTCTCCATTCTTCCTCCATACTCTAGGTCCTTGGTTTCCAAATGAGATGCAAAAGTTGCTCTCATCAGAAAAGAGGACTTTGGACCACTGAGCAACAGACCAGGTCTGTTTTTCTTTAGCCCAGGTAAGACGCTTCTGACATTGTTTGTTGTTCAGGAGCGGCTTGACAAGAGGAATATGACATTTGAAGCCCATGTCCAGGATCCGTCTGTGTGTGGTGGCTCTTGATGCACTGACTCCAGCCTCAGTCCACTCCTTGTGAAAGTCCCCAACACTTACGAATGGCTTTTTTCCTGACAATTCTCTCCAGGCTGCGGTCAACCCTGCTGCTTGTGCACCTTTTTCTTCCACATTTTTCCCTTCCACATAACTTTCTATTAATGTGTTTTGATACAGCACTTTGGGAACATTCAACTTCTTTTGCAATTACCTTTTGAGGCTTTTCCTCTTTATGGAGGGTGTCAATGATGGTTTTCTGCACAACTGTCAGGTCAGCAGTCTTTCCCATGATTGTGATTCCTACTGAACCAGACTGAGAGACCATTTAAAGGCTCAGGAACCCTTTGCAGGTGTTATGGCTTAATTAGCTGATTAGAGTGGAACACTTTGAGCCGAGAATATTGCACCTTTTCACAATATTCTAATTTTCTGAGATTGTGGATTTGGGGTTTTCATGAGCTGTAAGCCATAGTCATCATAATTATGACAAATCTTGGCTTGAACTATCTTGCTTTGCATGTAATGAGTCTATCTCATATATTAGTTTAACCTTTTAAGTTGCATTACTAAAATAAATTAACTTTTGCACGATATTCTAATTTTTCGAGTTTCACTTGTGTGTGTATATATATATATATATACACATATATATACACACACACACAAACTCACTGGCCACTTTATTAGATACACTTGTTCAATTGCCTAGTAACTCAAATAATGTTGCTAATCAGCCAATCACATGGCAGCAATTCAATGCATTTAGGCATCTAGAAGATGGTGAAGACGACTTGCTGAAGTTCAAACCGAGTATCAGAATGGGGAAGAAATTGCATTTAAGTGACTTTGAATGTTGCATGGTTGATGATGCCAGGCAGGCTGGTCTAAGTATTTCAAAACTGCTGATCTACTGGTATTTTCACACACAACCATCTCTAGGGTTTACAGAGAATGGTCTGAAAAAGAGAAAATATCCAGTGAGCGGCAGTTGTGTGGACGAAAATGCATTGTTGATGTCAGAGGTCAGAAAAGAATGGGAAGACTGCTTCAGCTGCGACATTCAGATGGTAGAGTCAGAATTTGGTGTAAACAACAACATGATAGCATGGCTCCATCCTGCCTTGTATCAACGATTCAGGCGAGTGGTGTTGGGTTAATGGTGTGGAAGATATTTTTATGGCACTAGAAAGGTGTAGCTAATAAAGTAGCCAGTGAGTATACTGTACAGTACATGTGGCAAACCTAACATATTCCAAATATACCATTAATAATCTATTTTTTAAAACCAATCCAATCCAGAAGTCAATATTTCAATTAATTTGATTTATTGATATTCCACTTGAAATTTAACACCTTGGCTAAACAAGTATCCAAAGTGAATATTCAATGAGGACTTTTTTAAGGTTCTTTACTCTATCATTAACCTCCTGCTTTCTAGCGCAATTTAAATTTTTCTCAAACATGCTAAAAAGCATTTTTCAAGAACATTAAAGAGAACCCACAAACATGATATATTTTCTGAAAGCAGAAGCCATGGAGAATAAAATGGTGGTTGTTACAATTTTTTGTCACATAATATTTCAGCAGGTGTTTATCAAACAAAAATGCTTAAGGAAAAATATACTGAAATTAATTTTAGTGCATGCAAGCACAATATAATAGATAAACAGAAAAAAATGTATGGGCTCAGTGTGATTACTTTATACCTAGAGCTGCACCTATTTCACATCTAAATACAAAGATGAACAAAAATATATATACATAGAACAAGTGCACTACCAGATTGATTCATTTTATTCTCATTACTTTTTAAATAATTTATTTTATTAATTTTTCTTTTAATTTTTATTGTTCATGCATGTAATCTTTGTTTTTTTTTCAGTATTCATCAATTAAAGATAATTTTGAATAAAGTGTTTTTAGTTTCAGTTTTTTTTTGTACACATGACGGCGTGGATGGGTCCATTTATTCTTTTACCACCTTTTTAATACACTATTACTGATGTATAGCCTGACTTGTCTTCTTTTGACCTTGATTGCTTGGTCTCCACCTGGAAACCATGTTTGAGTTTACCTTGATGGCAATAGAGTGTCATTTGGTTTGTGTGTTAAGGAAAGTCAAATGTCCTAGTTTGACCTCTTGTGTTTGGTCTGTGGTTGAAGCCATATTTTTGATGATTTGTTTGTCATATTACATATTCTGGGTCATATGGATGGATGAGTTTATATATTTTGAATATGGTGTCCCTGCTTCATGCTCCTGTTCCCCTGGTGATGCACTCTGATGCAAAATACATTGGGAGGGGCCTGAACTTGTGACATCATAAGCCCGACAAGGAGGCTTGCTGACAAGGCATCTGTGTTTCTGCATGTACTATTTCCTCCTGCTATGTGAGTACCTGTCTGTGTTTTTAATAAATATATGCCTAGTGCTTTTCACACTACAGTTGTGTTCAAAATAATAGCAGTGTGTTGAAAAAAGTGAATAAAGCTCAAAATCCTTCTAATAGCTTTTCTTTCCATACACACAAATGCATTGGGAACACTACACATTCTATTCCAAATCAAAACATAAAGAAAAATATATCAAAGTTGTGTTGTTCCTCTAAAAAATTGAAGAAAAGTGAATATTAGACTGTTCAAAAAAATAGCAGTGTTTGTATTCTTCTTTACAAACTCAAACATTCACTATATAAAATGAAAAATGTTTGAAGATTTTGCTTTCCTTTGAATCACTTAATTAATATTTAGTTGTATAACCACTGTTTCTGAGAACTGCTGTACATCTGTGTTGCATGGAGTCAACCAACTTCTGGCACCTGTGAACAGGTATTCCAGCCCAGGATGATTGTACTGCATTCCACAGTTCTTCTCTATTTCTTGGTTTTGCCTCAGAAACTGCATTTTTTATGTCACCCCCAGGGGCGGACTGACAACTCATGGGGCCCCTGGGCAGTAGGGAATCATGGGTCCCCTGTGTCCTTGCCCAAACTCAAAAAAGCCTATGAAAAAGGTACCAGGGGCATCTCATGGGACCCCCTACTGACCCTGGGCCCTCAGGCAGTGCCTGAGTTTCCAAATGTTCAGTCCGTCCCTGGTCACCCCACAAGTTTTCTATTGGATTAAGATCCGGGGATTGGGCTGGCCACTCCATAACGTCAATCTTGTTGGTCTGGAACCAAGATGTTGCACGTTTACTGGTGTGTTTGGGGTCGTTGTCTTGTTGGAATACCCATTTCAAGGGCATTTCTTCTTCAGCATAAGGCAGCATGACCTCTTCAAGTATTCTGATGTATTCAGACTGATCCATGATCCCTGGTATGCGATAAATAGGCCCAACACCGTAGTATGAGAAACATCCCCATAGCATGATGCTTGCGCAACCATGCTTCACTGTCTTCACAGTGTACTGTGGCTTGAACTCAGTGTTTGGGGGTCGTCTGACAAACTGTCTCCGGCCACTAGACCCAAAAAAGAACAATATTACTTTCATCAGTCCACAAAATGTTGTGCCATTTCTCTTTAGGTCAGTCAATGTGCTCTTTGGCAAATTGTAACCTCTTCAGCAGTGGGACTGTGCGGGGGCTTCTTGCAGATAGCTTGGCTTCACATAGGCATCTTCTAATTGTAACAGTACTCACAGGTAACTTTAGACCTTCTTTGATCTTCCTGGAGCTGATTGTTGGCTGAGTCCTTGCCATTTTGGCTATTCTTCTATCCATTAGAATGGTAGTTTTTCGCTTTCTTCCACGTCTTTCAGGTATTGGTTGCCATTTTAAAGCATTTGCGATCATTTTAGCTGAGCAGCTATCATTTTCTGCACTTCTTTATATGTTTTACCCTCTCCAATCAACTTTTTAATCAAGGTACGCTGTTCTGAACAATGTCTGGAACGACCCATTTTCCTCAGAATTTCAGAGAGAAATGCGATGTAACCAGCATGTACAACATTTGCTGCCTTCCTTCCTTAAATATGGGCAATAATTGCCACCTTTTTTTCAAAGAATGAATGACCTCACTTTTAGAACTCCACACTGCTATTATTTTGAACATGCCCCTTTCAATTAGTGATTCAATTACACAGAATCAGCAGCATGCATGTCATGACTGTTGGGTCTGTTGGATTTCTATTATTCTACTACACCTGCTAGTAAACTATTTGCCATGTAGAAATATCATTTCTACCAAAAACAGTGATTGATCAGGTTAGTGATGTCTGACTGCTATTATTTTGAACACAACTGTATATGAGGCCTCTGTTTTCTTCCTCCAGTGCGGTTGATACAAATGAGATGCCTGGGTTTGTCAATGAAGCTTCTCAGCTTGATTGTTGGATAAGGACTATGATGGGGTATCTAGAGATACCTGTAATGGCACATGCTTCATTGATCTCTGTCATTGGAGATCCATAGCATTACGTCAAAGCAAATCACCGGCTGAAAAAACTATGCCAGAATCATTGCTGCTTCTGCAGCCATATTTGTGGTATAGTCACTTACTTCCAAGGCCATCTTTCCATCTTAGGCTATATATATATATATAGCCTAAGATGGCAAGTGGTTAGGATGGACCATTTCAGTTTCCCAGTTAGTGTGTCTACCATATATAGGTAAAAATGTTCTGAAAACATGAAATGGGTGAGTGGAAACTTGATCTTCGGTGTCATACAAGGTTTCATAAATCCTACTTCTGAACACCTGAGTGGTGCATCTAACGTAAGCAATAAATAAAGTACCCCATATTACAAGGGTTGCAGTTAACATACTGTATTCCTTAATTCAATATTTCTTACATATAGAAAAAATCAAAGGAACTTTCATTCTTGCAGTCCCTCCAGCATGTGCATCTAGTATGCCTGTACTTACATAACACATTTGCACATAAGCAAACCTGGTGCAAAGATTCTGTCTCCTCCTTAGACTAGGAGAAAGGTTAGTACCTAATGTGGGAGACTTTTGGCATGCCTTACCTCTTCTCTGTCACAACTCAATGGTGTTCACTACTATTGTATGAGATATGCAAATTTCTTTTTATGGAACAGCAGAAGAACCTTTGCTGATAATAAGCAATTTCTATCCATCAAATCCTGTAAATCTATTGTTCTATCTCTCATACTGTCTTTATCATGAGTAAACCTCAGTATTTCTCTCAGGACAGGCCAATTCTCCTACAGGAATGCATTTAATGGTATTTATGGAATGACAACTTTCAGACCATAAGATTGTATTTCTTGCACAATTTTTTTACATGTATGGGCACACATAGATTTGTAATTTCTAAAATACAATGCAGTCTAAATAGTGATTGAAGTGTAAAATATTAATCTGACTCTTATAACTGTGTGGAAAATAGAGGTCATTGTCATTCTTGTTCAAGCAAAAAAGTAACTCACTTTCTTATCAGTAGATATTATATTTTGCCTGCACTGATAAACCAATCCAAGAGGTTTCTACTGATAAAAATGTGGAGCACAGTGACAGATGAAGTGCAGTTCTCTGTGTGAGTGTGGTTTATGCTGGAGTGTAAAGCTGCAGTTGAACACAGCACCCTAAACATGGCTTCTCTGCTTTTTTCACAGGTAAATTGCTGCTCTCATCTCTACTCTAAACTGTAACTTCAGCAATGCATAGACTTCTTCAATCTCTGGGTAAATTGCTGCTCTCATCTGCTTCATCTCCACTCTAAACTGTAACTTCAGCAAAGCATAGACTTTCTGCAAATCTCAGAACAAATAGTGTATATATTTTGGTCTGTTTGTGTTGATTGATTCTCACCTCTTGTTGCACTTCTTTTATGACTCTGATCTATGTCTAGTCTGTGTTTAAGAAACATCCTCCCCAATTCATGTGATCCTTATCAGTTCCTAATTGGGGGGGAGAAGAGTGCTCATTTGACCATCTCCCTATAAATTTAGATCAGCTCATGGGGGGAGGTCACAGTCACAGATGGAGTGCAGTTCTCTGTGTGAGTGTGGTTTATGCCGGAGTGTGAAGATGCAGTTGAACACAGCAGTTTAACTAAAGCAGGATAACTCAAGCAGCAAGAAGATACAACAAAATAACTATACTGCACACTGGATAGACTGCAAGCAAACACCCTGAGAAACATCTCCTACAAGTCTGAGTCCCACTCAGGGGCGGACTGACAACTCATGGGGCCCCCGGGCAATAGGGGATCATGGGACCCCTGTGTCCTTGCCCAAACTCAAAAAAGCCTATGAAAAAGGTACCAGGGGCATCTCATGGGGCCCCCTACTGACCCCAAGCCCTCGGGCAGTGCCCGAGTTTCCAAATGATCAGTCCACCCTGGTCCCACTTAATCTACCTTTTAATATGCCACCTCTACTCCTCCTTTTCATAATAATATCCTGCGTTCCCAAAATCTCATTTCTTTACCCCTCTGCTCCACCCCGAAACTTATACATATCACCCTCACTGCTACCACCTCCCTACTACTGCTCCCAAACACCAGGACTGGAAGGCATATACACTTGTGTACATCCCACTCCCATGTTACTTTCCTCACCCTTCTTCTTTCCTAACCTCTGGGGATATCTCCCCAAACCCTGATTCACTATTTCAACCCCACACCAGGCACACTCTTTCCTCCATGAATAGCCACAATCCCCTCAATTTAATATCAGTCCCCATGCTCCCAAAAACCACCCTCCCTTTTTCATGTGAACTCTGGAATGCCCGCTCTGTCTGTAATAAGCTCACCTCTGTCCATTACCTTTTTGTCTCCCGCTCCCTTAACCTACTAGCAATTACAGAAACCTGGCTTCAAGCAGCAGATTCTTCTTCTCTTGCAGCACTTTCCTATGGAGGCCTCCTCTGGACCCGCTCACCCAGACCCAGTGGTTGGAAAGGAGGTGGGGTTGGTTTTCATATATACCCACTGAGCACCTTTCAAGTCCTCCCTAACTGTCATGTTTCACATGACTGTTATATGCCTTTAAGTGTTTTCTATATTTTGTCTCTGCTCCTCCTTTTCCTTTGGTTTAGTTAATGCTGTATAGATAGCCCACCCCTTTTCCCAGTAAGGCATTGCAGCTCTAGCCTCATGTCATGAACCAGGTCACATTATGATCTTTTGACCTATCAAATGTTCATTGTTGTAATATTCTCTCAGTTTATGGAATAAACTTCACAAGATCTACAAGATATCATCTCGATTGAGTCACTGACTGTGGTATCCAACTGAGATTGGAGTTATCGTTATCTCATCACAACTGTAAGTTACAGAGATCACACTTTAAATGCTTAGATTTTAGAGACAGAACAGTCAAAAGATCAGTGAAATGTCTTCATAGGATCAGCCAAAAGATCAGCTAAAAGATCAGTCAAATGATCAGTGAAATGTCTTCACATGATCCTTGCTGGCTTTGAATACACAGTGAGATGTTATATGGACAGCTAATACAGAGTGCAGCCATCTCTACACAAGACTGCACATGTCTGCAAGTATATCTCAGCATAACACTCATCAGTGTCAGTACAATTATTGATGTGAATGTCTTACAGCTGCAAGTTTATACACTGCATCTGTATGCAATAGCACATGGCTTGTCTGTAAATCTTGTAAGAAAGTGAAAGAAAATGTTACTACAACCATTGCCAAGGAAACCTCAGCTCACACACAGACAAATTGATACATTTCTCTGTACACTTTCTATCAACCCCTCTCCTTGCTAACATGATGTTTCAGGAAAGTAATATACAGTCTGGGGAAACTAATACACAACCACAATCAGAGCTTAATGCTGACAAGCAAGAATTGCTGTCTAATATTAATGACTTACGGTCTAATACTGTTAAATGCATGTCTGCTCTCTCCCAACAATCTCATGAGCCAGCACAACTAGAGGGCGCTATCCAGCAATTGAATGTTGCTTATGAGAATTATCAAAGACTGTGTGTTAAATATATTGCTCTGTTAAAGCGGAAAACCACTCAAAGGTCATTGGAAGAATGAATGAGTTTTGAGGAGCTCAATCTTGAAAGAAACAATTTAGTGGTGCGAACAAAGACAAAGGCCGAAGTGAGAATAACACAGCTCCATGAATCCAGATCTTATTGCTCTGCATCTACTAGACGGTCCTCAAGATCTTCCAAATCCATACAATCAAGGTCTTCTACACTCAGTCAACAACTAATAAAATCCCGTGCTGATTGCTGATGCTGAAGCTTCT